GAGATATTTTGACTAGTTTTGTGGTGTTTTGAAAGGCATCTGATCTGTGCTACTCCACTACACTAACCACAACAGCAAATCTTGCTCTGGTGCAAACAGATCAACTTCTCTTCATGAGAGAAAGCACATTTTCCCTGTGTAGATAGCTCAGCTATTTTCTTACTTCTGCTTTCTGTGTTGTGACAGGGGTAAGGCAAGGAAAGAAGCAATTAATAATAAAATCCATTGGGCATTTTCAAAAATGGAGGGATTATTTTTAGTTTTGAGTCAGTGGTGTTGCTGGTTTCAGTGTGCTTTCAGAGTCCTGGCTCTGCTGCCATGAACCTTCTCCTGGTGAGGTGTGAAGAAGACATTCCTCTGCCAGCCTGAATGAAAAGGTTAGTTCAGGTTATTGTATTAAACACTGCATAGGCAGATGCTTCTGTAATTCATTCTTCATGTTAAATTCAGCTGGCTTGCATACAGCTAAGGTATTTCCAGTGATGTGCTGCCAGCTTTCTCCAAAGGCCTCCTCAAAAGTTTTTCTTCCTTAGCTGGTGATATGTGGAAAAAACGTCCTGTAACTATCTCAGTTTAGTGTATAGATTTTCATCTGCAAATACTGTCTGTTTATACTGTCTGTGGTAAAACAGTCAGCCCTTCCACCTCTCTTCCCCTACCAAATCTACCTTGACCCCTGCTACTGTGTCCATGACACCTGGGGCAGAGAGGACTGTCCCAGTCACACTCTGAAGGGAGGGTGACGTACCTCACCATCTCTTTGGACCCTAGGAGGAGGTGGTGGGAATGCAGACATGCAGGTCTCCCCATGGGAGAGTTCACACTTGGTCCTACAACACCTTACTCCTTACCTGCCTGTGGTCATGGGGTGCTGGTGGTCTTGGGGAGGGCAGCATGTGAAGCCCAGCTGGGTATTGTGCCAACAGCCAGCAACACTCTCTGAGCTTCCTCTGATGTGGCAGTGTGAGTTTAAATAAGCAGGAGGCATGAAAGGAGGTGTGGGGGGCTGTGTCAATTTCTCTCATATTTACACTGATAAGCAACAGGTATTTCCGCTGTGAAAAGTTTAATTTCCTTTCCTTTTGAAATGCAGTGATGCAGAAGCCCAGGTTTCCTTCCACGGGGTCAGAAGAGCAAGGAGGGCTGCAGGGACCAGCTGATGCCTGTGTTGGCCAGATTCTCCCCATCTGGCAGAAGTGACTCATCGGTGGCATGACCCAGGAGCTCTGTGAGGCTTGTTGAGCTCAGGGGGAGTTTGACTTCAGATCCTCTACTTCCTTGAAGATTTGCCTTTAGTCCTTGCCTTAACCCAGCCCTCATCTGCATTTGCTATCCAGACTGGGCTGAAGTGGTCTGCCCTAGATGCTTTCCGGGTGCCATTGGCTCCCTTGTTTTAGGGTGTGGGGAGCTGCCAATGCAGAGCTTAAGCTGCTGCCTCCACCTGGGGCTCATTACATGCTGCTTCCTCTCCAGCTGCCAGGGGCCTGGACAGGGAGCAGGGAAATCGCACGCAAGGCGCTTGTAAAACCCTCAGCCCTGTCTGCCTTTGGAGTAAGAGCTGGCTAAGCCTCCTTCCCTGCAGGACAGGCTTCCTGCCCTAGGAAATCCCCTGCTGTAAGGCAGCCCAGGAGATCCACTTTGGGGATCTCAAACTGTGTTCAGTCTGCACTGGCTGGGTACAGAATGAGAGCTATGGGTTTTTAGAAAACCGTAATAAAAGCTTTTGATTATACATAAGAAAAAAAAAAAAAAGTGATCCTGCCTGATCCCCAGCTCTGTGCTTTGCCTAAACTTACTTCCCTGGAATACACTGGAGATTGATCTTTGAGAAATGATACCTAAAAAGCCCACATGTAAAAACTTAACTGTTCCAGCAATAGGATCATATTATGCCTTTGATCCTGTAAATTGTTGAACCACATCTCTATTCGTTGCCCAAGGACTGCAGGAAATGTACACGGGGTTATGCAAATCTCTAGGAGAGGGAATGATTTGCAGGGAGGGGGGGAAGATGGCTGTTGCCACAACTGTCAGTCTCTGGATTGCAGCTGAATAGTTTGGCAGTCCTCACACTTTCCTGTGTCACCTCGCTGCCAGTTCCCACGGCTCCTACCCCTCTCTGCTCACCGTCCCGTTGTGCAAGTCTGGAGCGGCGAGCTTTTCTCAGATCTCCCCCTGCGTGTGCTGGTGGCATTTACAGGCAGAGTCTGCAAGCTCGGTCCTTCGTCTGCATTCTTCTCCGAGCCACCACTGTGAGTGCTGTGTTCATGTTTCACCTCTAAATCCCCACGATTTTTGCCGGCTGGGGATGTTTGTTTGGGGTGGGTAAATCTGATGGTAAGACACAAAATAATTTATTTGGGAACCTTGAGGGGACCTAAGCCTGCACCAGATCCCAACCAAGGCAGGACAACAGCAACAAAACAAGAGCATGGTCAGCAGATGGGAGCTGCCAGGCAGGACTTTAATTTTGTGTAAAATGTGAATTTTCCTTTCCCAGGCTTGGAAAAGAATAGTCAAAACCCTTGTAAAAGACATAGGTTGGGTGTAGTGTGGGAGTATATCCATCAGCAACACCACATTCAAGACATGAGTACTTGACATCCTAACCATGGCTCAAGGTAACAGATCCTGAGAAAAAAATAAAAATAGAGGTCCTTTGATACCTTCTCTGTTCTTACTTTTAGTTTTTTCTTTTTTTTTTTTTTTTTTTTTTTTTTTTTTTAATTTTGGTATGTAAGCTAAATGGCATGACACTGGACTTTGGTACTTCACCCAATCTACTTCAATTTGCATGTTGAAGAAAGATATCAAAAGGCAGGCCTGCTAGGGCTCTCCTGGCAGCCATGCTGTGGTGGTGTGCTGTGCCAGGGAAGGCTGTGCTGCATCCAGAACACTGCCCAGCCTTTTCTATAAGCTGCATATACCGCACAGGTACAGGGGCTGCACATGCCAGAATGTGGGGCAGTGCTGCATCAGCTGGGCAGGAGTTTGTTTTGCTGTTTCTGTTTGGTTTTTTCACCTCGGTGATAATTCTTACCCAATGTGTGATCTCTGCTCTATGTACTTTACTACTCCTTGTGATAATCAAAATCCGGCCCTGAACTTTTTCACTACAAAGGAAACAAGAACTTTGCCCTGTTGGCTGTTAACAGGGCACTCAGCGATGCCGAAGCCTCTTCTCACATGCCAAGACCCCCAAAGTCTGTGGAAATCAGAGTTATGTGATGACAGAATGCTTATTGTTTTTTTCACCAGTGCGGGTGGAAATCAGGTGAGACACGGACATGAGATTTCTGGTGTCAGACTCCTCTTAAAAAAGGAGCAGGCACCCATCCGGTTGTTGGAAAAAAACCTTTAAACGCCAGGACCGCCAATAACGTGCTGTGTACGGCTCAAAGTGCAACCTGTGGTGGGTTCAAAGCTCTGAAACATTAACCAGACCTTGGGCCACCGTCTGTAGTTGCCGCTGGGTGCCCATACCATGGCTCCCGGGAGCGGGAAGGGAGGGTGGCACTATTATTATCCATGCGGAGAGAGGTCACAGCGGTGTTTGCACAGCGCAGACGGAAGCGCTGGTGGCAGCCCCGAGGCGCTGGGTGCGCAGCGGAGGGCAGCAATGACAAGGTACGAGCTTCCCCGTGCGGGGAACAGGGAGAGACAAGCGCTTAAATCTCTTGTTGAAGGGCTCTGATGAACACTGCAGTGATGGTGGTGGCGGTGTGAGGCTGTCTTTCCGTATCCACTCTTTTGTTTGCACGTATAACCTGCCTCAGGTGAAACCCCTTACTCTAAGCTTCCCCCTTACCCCAAATGAGGTAAAGCTTGTGGGAAGAACAAATGTAATTTATGAAATTGCAGGCTGCAATAGCAGGGGAAAAGGAGAATGCTAGAGCTGCTTCTGGGCCCACACTTCAGATGGTTTGGAGCTGGGTGGTGCTTTGATGGTGTTTTCTTTTTAACAGTGGTGAGGTGTCCTGGAGATCAGATGCGGAGATATGAGGAGCCAGAAAGCATTTCTGAGCATTCAAGTGTTGTAATCATGTTACTGCTCCCTGAGCTCAGCTGACACGGGAGATAGGGAAACATCTCCCACTGCCCAGGTAGGTGACAGTATATAATCTTCAGAACACCCTGAGGAATAACAAGTCTTTTGCAACTTTGCCTTCGAACTCTGAAGGAGTTATGCTTGCATGATGGATGGCAGCGGCGCCCAGCCGTATTCTGAGGCATAGCACAGATCCCAACTCCCTTGCAGAGGCTTTATCCTCAGATGGAGGGAGGGTTCAGCAAGCTGTGCGTCAGTGCTGGCTCTTGCAGCTGTAGAAACTTGTCATTTCCTTTCCAAGCACCAGCACCCTCAGCAAGGCAGTTGGCCTCGGGCCAAAAGCCATTCCTGTAGTGTCTGTTCCTGCTATATACATGTGTGATGTTAACTTACCTGATTCCTGATGTGGGTTTCTCCACAACGCTGCCACATATCTGTATCTTGTCAGTGTAGTGGCTTTGGGAGAAGCCTCTTCCATTATCAAGCCTTTAAGTGTGTTTACCTGAGAGCATGTTCCTGTTCAGGGCAGTAAAGCAATGCTTTGCTGTGGTTATGCTGAATCACTGTTACCTGGCAAAGATTTGGGAACTGTGAGATCATATTTTATTGTAGCATATTACAGCTGCAGAAAAGGTATTGGATTCTGGGTTTATATCAGAAAACTAATACTTGATCAGGATGATAAAATATTTAGGTCTAGAACTTTACCTTCACAGCTCTTTGTAAAGTAATTGCTCTAGTAGTAGTGGCAGAAGAAAGGACATGCTCATTTATGATGTTTTAAATCAGACAAATAATTTCCGAAGACAAATAACAAAACCATAGCAGAGGGCTCTGGTGCAGGGCTCCTTCTTGGATTGTAAACACTGCAAGACAGAAACCATCAATATTTACACAATGTTCAGCCCAGCACAGTGCAGCTTCTCTGGCTGGGCCTTTGGAGGCACTAATAGGTATATTAAATCATGCTGAATACCTTCTTGCAATATTTACACTTTAATGATAACCAAGCGTGTGTGCCGAATACTGTGGATTGTGAGCATGCAGCACCAGAACCAGAAAACCTGTGAGGAGGCCAAGCTCTGTGATATCTTCCCCCTGCCACTTGCAATGCAGTGGCCAGGACCCTTTCTGGTCCTCCCAATATTCATCAGAAGCAACTTAGAAGGAATGATGCAAGAATAAGTGTATTACTGCGTGAGCTGTCACCAGTTGTGCCAAGGACTGTGGATTGAAAAGTCAGGGGGGAAAAAAAGCATTAAAAATACCACTGCTATGTTGCCCTGTGGGCTCACAGAAATGTGACACAGAGAAGAATTAGCCTTCTACGGTTTCATGTTTCCCTGACCTTTTAAGAGGGGAAGAAAAATCCAGATCCAACTTCTGCTCCTACTTACAATGCTGAAAGTACAGAGCAAATGTAATACGCTGTCTCCTGAGGTGCGAAAGCAGAGTTTCACATTGTCTACTGAAAAGCAGAGAGAGAGCTGAGGTGTAAAGATAATTTAACAAAAGCTGTGTGAGTTCAAAGATAAACCTCCATCCCAGGCAAATGTAGTTATAGGAGTTTGAGTGTAATTTTGGTGTTTAAGGAGATCCATTCAACCTGCTCTGGTGGGATTTCTGCCTTGATGTCAGTGTGAGGTAAAGCAGAAAACACGTGCCCTCATAGGTGTGAGCCAGGGATGTGCCACAGGGAGGACTCCTGGGCACCAGCACTGCCGCTGACAGCTTCTGGCAGTGGCAACTACTGCTGATGCATGTGGCAGGGATGCTGTGACAGCACCTGCAATCACACCACTTGACACTTGGGAAGGCCTTGAACCATTGGCGTTAAGCTTGCACGTGCTACTTGATATGAAAACAATTCCAGTTAGAAGAAATTTCAGAATTGTTATTTTCGCTTATGCAGCTGTTGACAAGCAAAACCTGCTTGGATTCTACTTTAATAACCTGCTGTGTGCTTCAGCAGGTTTTCTTTCTTTTGGCTTGGTTTCTTGGTTTTATTTCCCACCTTCCACTAAAGGAAGTTTTTATCTCAGAGAAAATACAGGAGGTGGGCTGCATCCTACCAGAAATCCCACATTGCCTGGCAGAAGCTCATAGACATGAACCATCACAATGAATGCAATACTGCACACAAGTAGCTTTTTTTACAAGCACAAGGTTGTTAAGCAAAGGATGAGAAACATGTGGAACACACTGCAGTTTGCCAGTGTATGGCTGGGTTCCCAGGTCCGTGTACGTTCTTGCAGACAGGCTGCAGTTGTCATGATGCTATTGCCAGGGAAGATGTAAACAAAAGGAAACCTCTTGTCAAGTTTGAAGCATTAGGTTAGTAATACAAAAGAGTACTTCATGGAATCTTTCAGATTGATACACGCCATCTATTTGTCAGAGATGTTTTTGTCTTATGTGTAGTCATACAGCCTCTTTGACGTAAGTCACCATTTTTTAACATTTTTTAAGTAACAGCAATACTTACTAGGTGGTGAAACAGGGTAATGAGCAAGATCAGAGGATCCTCTTGCAGAAGAGCATGACTTAAAATCCATGTGTTTTAGGCAAAGCACTTCTGGATTCACTTGAAGACTGACACATGGACATGTTTCCATTGAAGTTGCTACAGGTTTGTCTTTATGTAGGCCTCCACTAAATTTTATAGCTGGCAATTAGTCTGGGATGAAGTCTGGTTTCTCTCCCAACACTGCACATGCAATTGTGTAACCACTAAAATTCCAAGCCTGGTTCTTATGCTGGATTAAAACAGTAGATAGCGAGATGAAAAGTCATCCTTTCAAACTGTTCTTTCCCACTATGACAGCTTACTTCATGGAAGCAGCAGCCATCTGACCTGGATTACTTTTGGGTTGTGTTTCATGCACACCACATTCCCCTAGAATTGCCACTGCTCCAATAGCAATGCCCTGCTCTGTGCAAGGCCTGCTGTTGCCCAGGGGCTTGTATATCTCTCTGCCCTCAGCTGGCACCATGATACTGCCCTGTGGCTGATGCTGCCTCTGAGGTCTGCGGAAATTGTAGAATTGTGGTTATGGTGGCACTGAAGCACTGGGAAGGGATGGCACATATTTAAAAACTATTTACTGAAACGTTGCTCTAAGGTGGGAAGGGATTTCTCCCTTAAGGTGTGATTGTCCCACAGCGTAGCAAAATGCCATCTCAGTTTTACAGCATCATCTGTGAGCTGTCTGGCCCATATAATTTTTTCCCATTTTGTTGTCAATTACTGACTGGAGAGATGAAGAATGACACATGCTTAAGTGCATCAGTTATCTCAAATTCCTTCCCCTTAGGTCTAGCTTAGCCAAGATTTACCAGAACAGTCTATAAAATGAATAAGTTTCAGGGTTTTTTTTTGTTTTTCAGGTGATAGGAGTTTTCTTTGGAAGACTGACAAAAGCACTGGAGCACAGTGAGTTATTATTATATCCACTTATTAAAAAAAAAAAAAAAAGACAAAAGAACATGCTGTAAGATCAATAACATAGCCCAACTTGTGCAATGCAGTAACTTCTCGGTGCTACAAAAAAAAAAAAAAAACAGGATTGATCACAGTCCTGAACACACAGTCACAAAGCCATTCCAGATTTAAACCGTGAGCACCCACAGTCAGTTCAACAGGAAAAAGTAAGATATAGTATTTTGAGGACATGACTTTGATAATTCCCTAGTTTGAAGCCAGGGATAAGTGACAGGTTGGACATTCCCACTGGGGAAATAGGCTAGTTACACTGGAATGGGTTACCCTTTGCTATTCAACATCTCAGTTCCCTAGTTACCACCTCCAGACTAAGGTGTTTGCCCCAGCACGTGGTTGTTTACACAGTGACTTGTCTTACCTTGGTGAGATAATTGATATCCATAAAACATCCGTCACACTCTGTCCTACTGCTTTTCTTTAACTCAGGGCAAGGCCCATCCCTCTTCCAAAACCTTTGACAGCTTTGAAGTATGACAGTGTAGCTCAGGGACTGTGCAATGGTTGCTTTCTCCAGAGGCTCTGCAACACCTCAGTACTTCCCCTTCTTTGAACAGAGGTGGCAAAATCCATAATTTGTTTCCATTCTGCTTGGCTGAAAATGAGGAAAAGTTCAGCACCCTGGCATAAAGATAGTTAAATGAAAAGTCAATACAAGTGACAAGAGTGAAGGCCTCTGCACCAGGAGTAGCCCATAACAGGTGGTGGCAGTGTCACAACTCAGCTTGTTTTTTAATATAGCTTTTTTTTTTTTTTTTTTTTTTTTTTTTCCTCCCTTCTTTCGTGTGTGTTTTTCTTTCCCTCTGGGTGGAGCAGAGCTGGAGAGGTGATGACTTACCTGCCACAGCTCGGTAGATCGCAATCTGGAACTGGCAGAGTGTTAACACAATGCCCCAGCAGAGCTTTTCTGTCTCTAATTTCAATGATTATGTTGTTACTGGATCAGTGAAGAGAACCATGAAAAACACAATTACCAGGAAGCCCTGTTCCTTCGCTCGCCTCTTTGTCTCACTGCGAATGGGGCATGTGACTGACGGAGCAATAGAGGACCCGCTGTAATCTCACGCACGACCGAGAAGGGTGCTGTCCGCCGATGGGACCCGAGCGTGGGAAAGCCTCCCTGCCGGCTGCAAGGGCCAGTCACGTCATGTTCTGCAGCTGGCATCCAAATGCATCCTGATGAATCGAGTGAGAGCAGCTACCTTCTCCTGCCACAGCGGTGGCCGAGCGGCCGTGCAGAAGAGGGGCTGTAAAAGCCTCCCCGCATGCAAAAGCACCGGGAAGGGACTATGTTGTGAATGAGCTTACTGTGACAGCACAGCAATGTTTTATAGGTCACTGGCATAGCATCAGACTAAAGGGAGAGGGGATGAGTATCTTTCAGCTGTGAGTGCTGCTCTCAGGTTTGCTCAGTGCAGGACTGTGGCTAGTGGGCCTGACCCAACCCTGTTATGTGATGCATGGTGGGAAAAGAGAAATTCACTTGCTCTCTGCACTCCAAATCACATATAAACCTATGACCTCAACAACAAATACCAGTAGCAGCAAAGCAGCCAATATTTTTATCATTAATTGCTATCAGAAATGTCAGCTCAAAGTCATCAGATTTGATAGGCGAGCATGCTCCAAACTGACAGGTGAAGTGAATTATTTGCCTATTGCGTGATGCAAAAACAATGTCTTGCAGGAGAGAACAGACATTGGCAAACAAACTGACAACGAGATACACTTCTGGGGAAGGCTTCTGATTTGATCTGGAAGGAAACATTGAGTATAAATACAGAGAAAGTTTACCTGCATGAAAGGCAGGGTTGAGCCCTGGACTTCCTTACTCTTCTGGAGAACAGTGTGAAACATACCTGCTATTGTACTCCCTTTGAGCTGTTCTCATTGCAAAAGGATACCAGACACCTCAGAAAGTTTTTTAAGTAATAAAGCATTTTTTGCACTTGTCCCTGGTGCATCCATTTATCAGTGACTAATGAGCACATAAATCCTCGTATGTGAAGAAAAATCCGTTTATCTTGGTGTTAAGCAGAATTTTCCCTGCCCATGGATCTGCAGCACAAATCTTTCTGGTCTTTCTGTGCTGAGGGTCTAAGCATGGGCAGGCAGTACACGGTGCAGCACTGGCACATTAATTATGTAACTACTAGGTACTACAGATTGAATCAGGACCTGTTTAAATACTGGTATAACCATGAACATCATCCAGGACATGTTTCTGTGCGATTTAATGACTGCCTTTATTTCACACAGTGGGAAAAACCCCATCTGGAAGCAGGATTCCAGTGAAGGGAAAGTTAGCTATGCCTGCCAGGGATCTCTTTTGCCCCCAAAAATTCAGACATCACGGGACATAAGCAGAAAATGAAAGAGAACCAGCAAGGGGAAAACCAAACAGGCTGGGGTCTTCTTGCCACTTCTTTTGAAGTCCCCAGTGTAACTCCTGGCATCTTCAGTGGGGTTTGGCTGGGTTCTGTGCAGAAGCGCCTTTGAAGATTTTGCTAAGGCTCAAGGCCTTGATCATGGCAACTTTTATGCCTGGGAGCAACTCTGTGCAGATGAACACTTCCAGGGTGCTCAGCAGGATGCTTTGGATGAGACTTTGCAGGGCTAGTCTTAAGCAATGAGAGCTTAAGAGAAATATTGTGGTTGTCGTGCTTTTATCCTTGACCACATCAAATGAAATGCCTTGGCAGTTCTGGAAGAATGAATTTTCATTGAAAACCCACAGCTCTTACAAGCAGTGCATTAATTATTTTATTAATTTGCTCTTTTTACATTATGGGAAACATTCAGCTATTTACATTTTCCTGTCCACACACAAACCAGATAGATAATCCTATAGAAACCCAAATCATTAAGCCATAAAAACACTCTTTTCTGTCTAAAGGCTTTCAAATTTGTGTCTTTTGTTTCAAATCAAAAACATTTTTAAAATCACATTTGGGAATGCAGGTAGGCCAGTGATTTACATTCTACTTAAAATATGCATTTGACTGTTTTCCTTAAAAAAAACCCCAAAAACCAAGAAACCAAAACCCCCAATAAATCCACAAAGATACAGCTTAAATTAAAATGATAGTGCACATCAAAGCATTAAGGGAACACCAATAAATAAAATGAAATATATTACAAATAAATTATTTCTATTTACCTTTTCAAATATTAAAAATCTTTAATCCATTTCTTCATCTTTCTTTACAAAAAGATTATGAGAATTTTATGGAAACATCTGCAAAAAATATAATAAATACCTCTTTTTTATTTTTTAAGCTTTTGAAGCAGGAGACAAAACCAACCTTTTCTAAAATTTCCCCCAAGAAAAAAAAAAAAGCAACAGTTTAGTCCCAAAGTGAAACAGAATATAGGCATTTTTAAAATATACTGGGCATTTTAGACTAAAAACAAATAGTTACAAATTATACTAAAACAGATGATGGAGCAAATATACTAGCATTAGTTTTTGTAAATGAGTCAAGTGGTTAACTAGTGGCATCCTATGGGCACAATTATTATATTTTGCATTTTCTGGTATTGGCTGTATTTTTAATATTTTGCTAAAAAACTAGGCAAACATTATAATAACCTCTCCGGTGCCAAACGAACTAACAATCATTCAGCTAAGATAAATTCATTTAAAATAGATACAAAAAATATTCTATGATATACAAATACAATAATTTGTAATGTACAAGACTAGATAGTCTTCACTTTTCTGCTTTTTTAGGGGGGAACTTGCTGGATATAAATTTCTGTAGCCACTTGTCAACCAAAGTCTTAACTCATCTTTCGTAAAACGTTCACAAAACTAAGTAAGTCTGCAACACAGTTGTGAATGTGGACTCTCACCTAGGTACTGCTTTGAATAATTCAGTACAAATGAGTTCCAAATAATTAATACTTCCTATGACTATATATGCTCAAAAGTGGCAGTTGGCACTATTACATACTGCAAACACGGTGATGTTTTGTTGCTGCTAAAAGTTAAACGCAGTGTTTCAAAACTAGCAAATACACTGGTATTCAAACGCTTAGAGGGTCAAACCTTTTGAAGCTCCTGTAACAGCAAGCACTCTAGAGTTACACTGGATTTCTCATTACTCTAGTTAAAAGTCTTTTATATATTAAATTATTAGCCCTTATCTTGTAAACCACAGCAGTAAATATTTGTGCCCTGTTTATAAAGACATAGCTCAGATATCGATGGCTTTGAGAGGTAGCAAATTCTCTAGTGGTTTTAGTATGCTCTCATGAAAATACTTGGTGCCAGAACCTATTACCTCTCCTATTTTCTCAAAAAAAATTAAATAAGCACCTGGCTATGATGTCATAGGAAAAGAAGCTGTCTGGCATGGTCTCGATGGATACTTTTAGCAAGAGCTTAATTTTTCAATGACGATTTTCAACGCTTTTTAAGTGCAAGCTGCAGAATTACACCACATGTGTAGTGGGCTATTTACTGGTTGGACTGTCCATACAGGTTGAGCTGCCGTGGGCACAGCCAGCCAGCATTGGCATGCAGCAAGGGCTGCCACCTCCATGGTGGGGCTGTCCCTGTGCCTGTGCCCACTGGGAGCAGAAAGCGCCTGCCTTCCTCTCCCGCATACCCCTGCCCTGGCAGACAGGGTGAAGAGCACATAGCGAGCAGCAGAGGAGTCTGGAGACATTGCTGCAGGACTGCACACACACTGATGACTGCACAACACTCCTCACATCAGTCCTGTCACCCAAAGCAGCCCTGGCACCCACAGCAGCTCACACCAATTCTGCTGGCAGCAGCACATGCCAGTTAGGCACACGTGTGCGCACTCACACGCTCACACACGCACACAACTCGCTTTCAGCGACATGCCTGACATAGCTTTCCTAATGTTGGCACAAGAGATTCCAGTAGCAGCGTGGTCGGCATCATTCGTCATCAGAGGAGCTGGAGGACAAGTCCCAGCCAGAGGTGGCTGGAGGGGACAGACACACAGGAGCTGACCTCTCAGGCTCCTCTCCAGCCCTATTATCTGCCATTTCCACCCACTATTAATGAGCTACTTAGGATGCATATTTTTTGTGATTGCAAAACAATGGCAGAAGCCAGGGTAGGAAGGCTTGTCGTGAAAAACATTAAGTTCATATTGATCCCATAACTGTGAAAAGTAGTCTATTGTTCTTGTTCAAGTGAGTATGTTATACTGTTAAGAGGAGGCTGAATTAGAAATTTACTCCTAAATATGGATGGTTTGGTGATAAGTAGTCTGAACTGTAGCATACAACCAGCTGTGGATAGAGCAAAGCAAGCCTGGCCTGGAAAAGCATCAGAGGCTCCATGTACAGTAATTCACCTACAGGTGTCCGTGTGTGGCTGTGTGGACATATGAGATTGGATGGTCCCACCGAGATTAAGACATCAACAAAACCAAGCTTTTTTTTTTTTTTCCTTTTTTTTCTTTTTTTTTTTAACCAATATAATCCATACAATACAATACAAGAGGAATTGACAATACAGTACAATTTTAAAAATTCTTAATACTTGGACAAGAAAATCCTTCTTTTATATTATCTCTTCAACTGTCATTGCTTCTTATCTCCTTCCTTTTTACTCTTTTATTGCCTTTCAAAATAGATTATTTCCCTGGAAGATCGAATTTACAATCTTCTGCTGATCGACATGTTTAAGTAGTGATTGATGAAATAAAAATGAGGCAGTTTGTGCAGCTGTGAGTGTGCAGGTATCTTTCCACAGGATCTTGTATATCCCTCGCCATCTCACCTGTGGGATATACTTCCACCTTTTCACCTGCCAGAGCTGTGGGGTTTCTTTTTGTCCCCCCCTCCCCGCTCCCACCCCAGCTCCCTCCCCTTGTGTGACTCCTTAATTCAGGTGAAGATGTGGTTTGGAGGTTTAGAATAAAGTGCGCCATCTGCTTTAAAAAAAAAAAACAACAGTAATAAAAAGAAGGGAATCCGAGTCATAGCTCCTTTCATCTTTTGTGAGGAAGACGGCAGAGTCCAAAAGGATCACCCTGCATGACTGAAAATACCAAAGTTCCCTACAGTTTGATATTGCTGTACACTGGGTAACAGACTAGCTTTAGATCAACTAAAGATCATGAGTAAGTTAAATGGAGCATCTACTGTACAGGTGCGCAGGTGTGTGGAAGTCTGAGTGCTGCGTTTATTGGTTCCAAACAGAAAAGAAAAAAGGATCGTGCTCGTTTACATGAGGCAAAGTGGCAGCATCAGTACATGTGACAAAGCATTGTGATGACATGGGTGAACCTTCAGAAAGCAAGGGTGATTAGAGGACATCTCTCGGAGGACCGACAACTACGCCACGGCAGTGGAGTTCACTGGGAGCATTGGGGCAGTTGCGTACAGAGAGAGGGGAGAGGGAGAGGAGGGAGAGAGAGCAAGAGAGAGGAGGAGGTACAAATACGTCGTGGTGACCTTGAGGAGGAGCCTACAGGGGCAGATTATACATGAGGCTTGTCTTGCCATAGAGAGTCCTCCCGGTTGGATCCCTTCATAGCCTGGTCTGGGCTTCGGGGATGTATATCTCAATGCTTTCGGCGCTCTCGGTAGCTGAGTTCTGGCGAACCGACGCAGCGCGCTTGGCAGCCATCAGCCGTTTCCGGGCCTCTTGACGCTGCGAGCTTTCCAGAGAGCGTTCTCGTATGAGTGGCACCTGACCTTTCGATGGCTTCTTTGGCACTGGAGGAGGGACCCTTCTCTCCTGATCAAAGCAGAAGGTTAATGGCATTATACAGCTTCTCAGGGAAAGGCGGGAAAAACTAGGATATATCAGTAGTTAGAACACACATTTTACCTAAGGTTTGTTAGCTCTTATCTGCCTTTCTGTCTTCAGTCAACTGGCTTTTGTGCTCAAGGGTTCATAAACATGGGGCAAGGGCAAAGGGGAGGGGAGGGCCGGCCGCCGTGCTACTTCTCCTCGGGGACAGTGCTCCAGGGCCGGGGCCCCCACCGCTACCTGCTTAGTGCCAGGGACTAGGAAAGAGACAGACCTCCTGCCACCAGTGCAGCCGGGAGGGAACGCTGCTCTCAGCAGAGGAACTCTGGAGAGCCCCAGCTCCTGGGCCACCCTCTTCTATCCATGCATAGCGCTAGGTGCTCCTGCAACATGGAGGTGCCATGGCTTTGGTGTTCCCAAATGCAGATGGGAGCTAGCTGTCTGCAGCTGGTGCATCACAATAAGTGCTTTTAAAAAAACACTACATATTAATGTATCTATTTCATAGCAGTTTAGTGACTGCTTAAAAATCCCACGCTCTGGGTCTTGCTGTGCAAGCTCATATGCTCCGTCCTTGTGCTAAATAGGCATGAAGCTACATTCAGCTAGAAATAGAAAATCTGATAGGAAAAACTTAAAAACCGTTAAGAGAACATGCATTAATCATCATGGTGGCAGCTAGCTCCAGATATGTGACCAACAAGGAGGGCTTTTATGTATATCCCGGTGCATGTACATACGCACATAAAAAACAGCAAAAAAAAACCCTCAAAAAAACCAACCAAAAACCCCTCCGAGAGGGATCTCTCCTGCAAAAGAAAAGTGTATTCAGAACTGAATTTCAGGCATCCACAAAGACTTTGTCAAGTTAATTAGATTGTCTTTTAAGTTACATCCCCTTCCAACTGTGAACATGGTCTCTGAGCAAAGGGATTTTATCACACTACAAAGATCCCATTCTGCCCTTTCGTTTTCTCTCATGCTGCTCACAACAGCTTCCATGGCTCAAAATATAAAGGTGCTTAGTTACACTTATTCATACTTTGCTTTTTCTCTCCATCCAAGGATTAATCTATGTTGCTTAAAAAGGGCCCAGTGGCAAAGGCCAAAGGCAAATATCAATTCCACATAAAGCTTTTTCTTCCCTTTTTTTTAAATCCTTTTTTAAGAAAGGAGATAATCTGTTTCATCTAAAATCATAGACAAATACTGTTGAAACAGGAACACAGTGTAATTCTTTAAAATCTTTACCTTCCTACTGTAGGTCCCTTTCTTCAGCACTTAACTTCCTTTAAACTGTTATAGTCTTTTTGTTGGAAACTCTTTGAAATGTTTTTCAGAAGCAAAGAAAAGGCACATTTTTTTTCAAGGAAAGCTCTCATTTCTTACTGCTGCAATTGCAAACACTCAGCCTACCCAGTTTACTGTAAAAGCTAATGAAAGACCATACACCAGCATTTCTGTGCATGCATGTTTGGCAGTTTTAACTTCTTTTCTGATAGATACTGGAAAAAAAGAAGATAAGAAAATGACTTGCCTTCAGTACCTTGGGCTAGGAAAACACATTCACATTCATTCCCCTACAAAACACACTAGGTGTGCACAAATGGTGTGAACATGGTACTCCTAAGTCAGGAATGAATATTTAGTCTTGATTGGAGGAGGAGGAGGAGGAATAGTGCTACCAGCACTGCCTGTACAAGCTTCCTGCTGCAAGATTAACGGGGTTTGATATTATTATGGTTATTTGTCCAAAAGAAAACACCACTTTGGTTATCGGCAGCCAGCTGACCATAATTTGAGGTAGCCAGGACTCCTGTCTGAGCCACTGTACCTGCAAATTGTGCTCCCCCTCCTTCTGGTGACCCTACCTGTTGGCTGTGTTCATTGCTATCAGACCAGTCACAGCGGAAATTCAGCCACCAAATTACATACCTACAGGAGCGCGATATTAGACTGTTGGTTCCTCTAGGAATGGGTCTGTGCTCTAAGGATTTTCTGAAACATTTGTGTATTTTGGCTCACCCAAATGCTCTTTGTCTTGAGGTGGATAGTGAGGAGAAAAAAAAAAGGAGATGGTGCCAAATGAGAATGTAACGTGAAATGTGACTTACACTTGGATGTGGTAGTTTTTCATGGTGACAGAAGAAGACTACGTTTACCAAAAAAAAATCAAAAAAGGGAAAAAAAAAACCCGCCAAAGCTCCAGATGATTTTTATGCTACCTCAGATAAACAACAATGCCAGGAAAGTGAATGTGTTTGTGAAATCACCCATTTAAAAACAGCCCAAAATAAATAAAAAACACAAATGGACCAAAAAAAAGTAATTTTTTCATGTAACACTTTGGAAGACATCTTTTTGATATTGCTGTTTGTAACCTGGCTACCAAAATCAGCGATGGTTACAGTGCTTCCCTAGTTTTTTCAGTAACACAACCTAGAAGTCTTGCTGTATGCAATAATATGAACCGTAAATGTGATTTATTTAATTTTAAGAATCAATATATAAGGCAGTTCCTTCCAACGATTGATCATCTAATATGATTAAATGTAAAGCTTAACAAAGTACCACATTCCCATTATCCGATTCACAAAGACAGATTTGGTTTAAAAATACGCCTGAAACATATTACAGATAATATCCCAGATGATTATTATGTAAACATTGTTATTACAATGAAATTAATTTGATATGAGCTTCATTTCACATTTTTAATGTTAACACTGTAACACAGAGGCCTATT